TATAAAGATTCTAAAAAGGAAATAAATATTGACTAGCTGCCATAAAGAGAATGAAAAAAAAAAAAAAATCGTATTAAGGTTATACGCAATCAATGACGACACAAGATTTGGATCCTTTCCATTTCACAAAAATGCAAAATTAATTCAACGAAATGGAAAGGGAATATTCCATGACACAAGTAAGAAATATTCAATCGGAGATGGTGAAAGAATTTTAGAAGTGTACCTGGAAGAAGATATCAGTAGGCAAACGTAGAGATTTCACAGTCCAATAAGCTAATTTATCAAGAAACGTCGTTGGTACATGATGCTTCTTCAGATCTATAGTCAAATCAGCTTTATACGTCTCCCATGGCTGCGATAAATCCAAACATTCCAAATTAACATAGATCGACGAACAAAAAACAACAAATCTACGAATCAATCTATAAAACTTACCCTGAAACAGTTCCATTTCCATTCAGTACCATCTTCTTTGGTGATTTTATTCGGTTCAACACCCCAATAGCTATTGATTCCTTTCTCTACCTTGTTACCTCCGGCGTCTCCACCGGTCGATTCGTTCTCCGTTTTTTTCGGATTCGTCTCCGTCGCCGGAGTTTTCTCACCCAAAGTAACCGTGCTTGCAAATCGCACGCCTCCAATCGCCGGAGCTCTAGTCCAGATCCAACTACTCCCGCTCATACCAGACACCGAAGCAACATCCGCCGCCATCGAAGGCTTCAGAAGATGGCTTGCCTCATGAGACACCGCACGGATCGTAGTGGCGGACGAGAACAACTGTGGTCCAGCAGCCGCCATAAGCGACCTAGCCACCTTGGCTCCACCGCGACTCATCATCATCGTTTAAGCAAAAATCGAAATCAAATCCAAGAATTTAGGAAAATTGTAGGAGAAAACTTTTTTTTTTATTTTGTTTACTTTGTCGTCTTATGCGTTTCACACGCTCTTTATGAGGAGGTCTCGAGCAGGGCTTATATAAACGAGGACAACGAACGGTCTGCGATCGAAAACCTTGAACGTATTTGTAAGGAGATTACGCCACGTGTTAATGAGGGTATAACAGTTTCTGGTGAGGATTTTTGTTTAATGACGGTGTTAGCCTTTGCGGACATGAGAGAGACTTTGGGTATTACTTTGCTTTGACTGAGGGTATAGCTGTAAATTGCAAAGGCGGTGTAGATTTTCCTTGGAGAACAAGAAGTGTGAAAAGGCTGGAATATACTTGCGTGGTCGCCAAGAGCTAAAATCTCATTGGTCGAATTTAATGATATCGTGTGGGTATTATTAGCCTTTTAGGTGGTTTGTTTTTTTTGTTTTTTTTAATTTCAATCTCAGCCAGAATTTAAAAAAAATACTTTTCTGGTCTTAGAAAATAAAATTAGGAGACGTCCGTTTCAACTTCCAAATAAAAAAATAGACAAATTTTATGATTTTTTTTGTTTAACATGTTTTTTAGGTTAACCAAATTCAAAACTAATAGGCTAATACCCATAAATTATTCGGATCACAGATTGAAAGCATGTTAACATTAGTTTTGTTTCAAATGTTTTAATCCCAATTTTTTTCCATCGAAGATTCGTCGGTTGACTATTTATGTTCGAACAAATATTTTTCGTTTAAAGTTTCCAAAAAACAAAATATATATTTTTCGTTTATATTACGAACAAAAATCGTATTTCAAACATTCGTTTGGCGTGGGTGGATCAAGATAGAA